AGCAGACCACCCTGTGAATTGCTGTTTCAGTGCCAGGAGAATGACGATAACCTCAAGCAGTGACAAACTGCCGTCTGAAGGAAGGAGCATTTGGGATCCGCTCCCCTTACCCAGGATGGTCAGTTCCTAGCTCTGGATACAAGGCGCAATAAGAAAGGTCAGTGCTGAGGACAGATTCGTTCTCCATTGTGGTTTCAGGTTATTCAAAAGTGCCATCTTGGACCTATACCATTTCACTTTTCAAAAGAAAAAATTACAAAAACCGGTAAACAAAAAGTTAGTCAGCATACAGCTAAGTTTATATACACCAAAATTTACAAGTTTGTCATTAAGTGACTTCTGCCACAGACCACTGCACATTTGTCCCTAACAAAGCACAAAGCTTGAACCAACGGTCATTAGAAGTGACAATGGGTCATCGCTTTATCAACAAGCATAAAGATAGTCAAAAATAGAACTGTAGCTACTTATCTTTAAATTTGCTGATTGACACAAGCAATCCCTCCCATTTCTGCAACTTCCAGTTGCACATCCTGCTCTACGACAGAGAAAAAACCTGCACCTTTACAGATACTTCTGCCAGAGACCACTTTTCTGTTGATATGTGAACGCATAGAACTGTCGTCAACCACGTCAACCAATTGAGAGGGATTCCTCCGAGAAGCTATAGCCCATGCAAGATTCCTTGGCACTTCACACAGGACCAGGAGAGGACAAGATTTCTCTTTGTTAAAACAGTGTTTTCAGCAGCATTATCCTCTTCCAACAAATTACAGTTTGAACGTGTGATGGGTGATTTTCGCATAGCCCCTTCCACCAAGCTGGCTTATTGCTGGCTTTGTGCAGCTAGACCATATGAAGATCCCCACCACTACCTGCCCAGCTGTTACGGGACTACAGTACTGGAACAGTTCGCTGTCAAGCACTTCACAGGCTTCTTCCAAGGATAACAACATCCTTTGGAAATCCTTCCATTTTAGCAATTTCAAAACAACCCAGCTTGCTGTAAAATTCCAGGATCCTTTTATCGTCTGGTCTCACTTCACAAAAAGCCCCACGGGAGCCTGAAGAAGGAAGAAACAAACAAAACACTGTAGGAGAAGAGTTACTGTAAAAAGCACAGACTTCAAATATTGCTAGAGTTCCCACCTATTTTAACATCTAAACCCAATTAAATCACTGATCCAATTCCATATGGAGCATAGTGCCCAAGAGACCATTCATGGCAACATAGCTGACCATCCCCTAAAGGCCCTGCACATTACAGACGTCTCGTCAGTCTGAACAAACCCTCTGCGCACCTTTTATTTCACATAAAAGCATCCTGAAACTCTGATGTTGGCTCAGAAAACAGCACTAGAAGAGGGCACCAAATCACACAAAGGAACTGTGAACCTCAGGTGCTCAGTAAGGCAGACAGCCAAGTATTTCCCCATATTGAAGGTTTTGTAATTACCCACCAGTGCACGCTGCCCCACATAAGGAAAAGCATCATTACCAATGCCAGCAGGGGAAATATAAACATTTGTGCATTGTTCAAGATGTCAAAATGTGTGCTCTTATTGCCAAATTGCTCCCTCAGTTCTTCCTATTTTCTGATCTGCAGGGTAATGGCTAAAGTGAACAGCTACCTTTTACCAAAGACAGCAGCTGAAGTTAGCTAGCCAAAAGCTTTTATAATTATTTACCTAAATCTAGAGTGCCAACTATGGCAGGAGTCAAATATCTCAGGCTGACATGCAAACACAGTATGTTAATATAACCATCCCAAGTTTGCCTTGCATCCTAGAGCTAACATGCAGTTAGGAAGCAAAGAATTTTGAGTGCAAGAAGCTTACCATTAGCCTTTAGAGAAGAGAGCAGGCAGGCCATCATACTTTTGGCCACACTTGGATCTGTCACTTTTTTGTGGATATCAATCTTTATCAATGATGGGAAATTGGCAAGGAATGATTCTGGCAATACTTCTTGCTCTTCATGGAAACTTAGCATTATTTTCTGAAAAGAATACAGGAAACAGGCATTTAATCATTATCCAGCTTTTAATTTTCATTCATCTTTATTAAGGGAGGCTGCTTTGCTCATGGAGTATACCTCCAAATCAGCACGCTTTTCAACTACACCTCTGATAGCCACTTTGTTCTTTACCTGCCGAATTGCTCCCTGTCCTCCAGATAAAAAGGCAGGCTACAGAAGCTTCTCAGGCTACCAAAGGAGGAATGCAAGACTCCTTACAAGCCCTCTCAGTGACCCACACTTCAAGTGAGAAAAACCGTAAGCCAACCCATAACCAACACTTTGTGCACAGATATTTCTTTCTTTGCATTTTACATGGGCAGTTTTAGCTCTAAATGTCCTAACCTTCCACATGTATCCTTTGGTTCACAGCGGCCTGGAAACATCTCTCATGTCCATGCAATTATCTTAGACTAATTGCCCCAACAAAGGCAAATTTGTCTCTAGCTTGAAATAAGCCTTGTTGATCACTAAAGGATATTGTTGATGACTAAAGACTATTGCAATAATCTCCCAGGAAGGTCTTTGGGAGTGTGACATCAGGTGTTAACTTCATGCAACTCATGGGAATGGAACAATCGAGTGAGGTGATGCAGAAGTAGGCAAAACCAAATCTGAAATACACTCAAGTCATTCCCTCAGCTGGTTACTGAATTTTAAAACCTTTAGGGTGCACTGGCCCAAGTAAACAAGCCACCTAACTTCATTTCTTGTATAACTATCATAACAACCCAAACTAGGACTTCATCACACAAGAAACTGTAACATTAGCAACCCCCACGTTTTTTTTTTTCCCCGGTCAAGTTTAAATGCAATCCCCTCAAATCTATAAACTGCCACCTCCCAAACTCTCACAGGTAGAGTCTCTGTTCAAAGTTACTATTTCAAACTTGTTGAGTTCAGAACCATGCCTGCTCCTCTGGGCTTTTCTTTATCACAGCTGTAACAGGCACAATCCCACAGAAAGCATCCAAAGCTAGCCATGCTGGCTTCAACCACCAAGGCAAAGGTGACAACTGTTTCTTCCAATGACAGAAGTGCTACAAGAGGTAAAACAGGTTATCAAGGTGTAGGGTACAGGTGGGGCTAAGAAGCAGTTAGGGAGATGATGCATTCATCTCTTGTGATCAATAAAAACTAGTCTCAGGAAAAGCAGATACCAGATAAACTTCCCTGACAGCAACCTACAAAAAACTGCAAGACAAACTCACAACAGTATGACCCAAGTTAGAGGATTGGATTTTTCTCTTGTGAAACAAAACATTTTATTTATTCCATGAAGTTTGGGGCTCAAGATTTATTTAAGTAAACTAGAGAATAACTGAACTGTATGAGAAGTCAACAATTTGAACCAAATGATCTAAAAAGTACAGAAAGGGAGCTTTTCAAACCAAAGTGGAGACTGAGATTATCAAGATGTAAGAAGTCTGTAAAAGAAACCAAATCAATCCTATCCTGTGAGAAAACTTTTCCATACATGATCTTCAATGACAATGGCTTCTAAGCAACTAATGAATATTTTCCACATTCCTTTATAGTGTCAAAAGACTAAATGGATAAAATCCCACAGTGTTTATTCTCAAGAACAAAGCACAAAGAGCTCCTCCGTACTCCTGGGAACATCCCTCAGCCCCTAGTCTCAAGAAACAGACTTTTTCCTCAGATATTGTACCAGCAGCAGAAATCCTGGGGTAATGTACCAAAGAGCAAAAAAGTGTTCTTAAACATCTCAATGGAAAAGCTAGTTTATCAGCACAAAATACCTCCTGCTTTCTCTCTGAAGTTTGGCTTTAAACTCCTGGAAATCAAGGCCCCTTCTCCCTTACTGTACCTACTACAGCTTTGCCGTGTTTAGTTTCCAGTATCTTTACATGCATTAGCTTTGCTTCAAAATCTGAATTTACATATACAGTTGAAAACATGGCACTATGCAAATGTAGAACAATCAAGTTGTAAAAAACCTACAGACTGCAGAATTAGCTCCACTTCAATAGTAACAGTGGAGCTATTAAGATACCTTCTAGTCACACCTACCCTGGAACACTGATATTTGCTGCAAGGCTGGGGATTTTTTGTTGTTGGTGGTGGTTTTTTTGTTTGTTTTTATTTGTTTGTTTTAGTGTACTTCACTTTTCCCCCCAAACATGTCTACAAGTAGCAGCCAATTTCACAATAGGGTGACAAACTTTTCATTCAATTTCCAGGAAGCTTTGCTTTGCTTGTGGGAAGACCTGTGTTCCCATGACCTCCTTTAAGATTTTGTCTAAGTCCTAGTCAAATAAAGCAAGGGCACACTGCCATATACACCATTTTTGCACTGCCCTCACCAGCTGGGGATTCCCTTAGGACGCCCACCAGTCTGACACCAGCCTTTGCATTCAGACAACTCATTGGAGAATACTTTCTGGAAAGTATTCTTTCCCTCTTGAGAGAGAGGAAGAAAAAGGCTAAGAAGTGGTGCTCCTGGGCTTGCCTCTACTACAGCTTTGTCCACGCCTCCTTCCATATGCAGGTGTGGATCGGCACCTCTTAGTATTAAAGGCATTTCTTTCCTTGACAAGAATGCATCAGCTAGAATTTTTCGCTATTTCTGACAGTTCAGTGACATTGTTTTTGTAATTTCTTCCAAAAACAATTCAAGATAGTGATTTTTAGCACTTGCTAAGGGTGAGATGTCATTTTGCACCATTTACAGCTGTCACACTCCACAAATAGCTCATACATTTTAACATCAAAACCAAGTGCTCTTTAATCTGTTTTCCACACCTAAACTGATGTGACTGTCGGGGTCAGCCTCACCTGCAGCATGGGGAAACTAATCACTCATTTTGCAGGAGAACAGAGCAGAAGCAATCCTTTATTTTCAAAATGTAATTTTTTCTAGATTAAGGTGGCTTACATTTAGTGCATTGATTACTATTAAAGTACACCTCATGGGTGTATTAAAACACACAGCTGTGTCTGACTGGCAGTGAATAATTTTACTGTTACCTTCTAAGATGTCAGATACCATACTCATCAAAGACTTCAGAAAGGTATGAAAATTGAATTACATGGAAGCTCAAAATGCAAAAGAAAAACAGAGACCTGCTTTGGAAAGAAAGAGTTCAGCATAAAGTTCTGACCTCATGGGTTATACCAACCTCTGCCTCAGACAGCTCCTTGTCACTATTTGGTTTAGTATATTTTTCTTGCATGAAAGGGATCCAAGACATTTTGCATTTTTTAATGAAAGGAGTCACATCAACTGTTCCCAAAGCATAGCCACATATGCCATCCTCATCTTCTAAGACGAAGCAGTAATCCAGGCTGAGGGTGAGCAGACCTCCTACTAACCTGCAGAAAGAAGTGTCCAAATTCAGTCAAAAGAAGGTCACTTTGAACAAGTATGCTCTTCAGGTACTCTGGAGGAGACTCTAGGGTCAACCAAAGAAGCGATAGAGTCCTCTGGTCATGGAATTAGTTCCTACAAAGCATTAATTAACAGATTGATCAGCTGTCAAAACTCAGCCATGCGCAACATCTGCACCTCAGGATCCCACAGTTTAATTCCATACACACTGCTCTTCTGACTCACCAGAGACAAGCTTCCTTCACCTTTTGCCCTGAGTTTCTCTGCTGCCATTACCTCCTTGTTCTTCCATCCGCTCTTCTGGGTATTTTTTGATACCAGCTACACATCTTTTCTTAACTACCTTCCTGTCACTCACAGAGCAGCCTCTTTACAAAGTTCTACCTAAATTAAACACTCGAGACATAGGAAAAAAAAAAATACTCAAAGTAGCTCATTTTACAGCTCAGATTTAATGCCTTTTTTTTTTTTTTAAACTTCATCTCACTTGTCATTGCTTATTCTTTTTAAAAGTTGGTACAGGTAATCTGTATCATGTGTTTCAGAAAAAAAAAAAAAACCCTCAAGGCTGTTGGCTGGGAGATTGGTCCTCAAAAAACTATACTAGGTTGGAAAAAAAATACCAGAGGGTAACTACAGACTGTGGACTGTGGACACTCCCATGATGTAACAAAATCTGAAATAAGGATACTATGATGCACAGGTTACATAATACAGAGGTTTCAGCTAAGTCTTTTTTTCTAACAGCTCACAACAGGTGACCACAGCATAAACTGAGACATAACTGTCTTTAAGAAACCAAAACCCCGATTTTCTGAGGCCTGCAGAGTGCAGATGATTTTTTTTTTTTTTTTAAAATCAAATGCTCTTTGCATTCTTCCCACACACACTTTTAAAAATTCAAATTAAATACAGCATCAGGACTTCATCCTTCAGAACCACCTCTGTAGATCATTCATTCTTAATACATACTTGTCTCCAATTAAATCTGGTAAACTATGGAACGGTTGATCAGCTCCATCGGCATACATTTCTCTGCAGATCTTATATACAGATGCCTAAGAGGAGAGAAGAGATTATTTCAAGTCCAGCTGCATCGAAAAGCTAACAACTTTGTTTCAGAGAGATGTCATTAACAGCTCTACTGTAAACTAGTACTGACAGGTATTTAAGTTACACAGAACAAGAGTACCCATTTATGAGAAAGACTATCTTCTCCTACCTCCCCAAAAGTAATTCTTAAAGTTGTCCATCAAAACCACTGCACTTAAGTTGAATGGCTCTGAAGGAAAGGCTGGAGGTCAACCTCCTGCATGTTGTAACAGCACAAGATTAATCCTGAGGGTTAGTTACCAAAGACTCAGTGAAGAGCAATACCCTTGCTACAAATCCCTTTTCAAAACCTCCAATGTTGAAGTGCAACAATTTAACCACTGTAAAGGACAGACACACCCTGACTTTCTGCATATTAAAAAGCTTTCAGATGAATCTCTTTAAAGAGCAAACTTGTATCAGCCACACTTTAAGTAAGAAACTTCACACTTTTCAAAAAAAGGCTTTGCATTTGGCATGTCTCCGGCCTCCTTTCACAGAAAGGGAACTCCTCCTCAGAGGAAATATTCTTTATGACTGCATGTTTAGCTGTATTACCAATTGTTTACATGGCTTAGAAATATTAAGTCCATCACCTAGAAAAGAACGGACCAGGTTAGGTACAGTCCTGCACTAAGTTATGTATGGAAAAGGCTGCTTTACTGCCCATGAGAACAGCACAGCGCCTAAAACTAGCAGGTAAAGGACATGCCCTGTCTGTCTCACTGGCTTCAAAGTCAGGATTCATTTGAGCTGCTGCTGCACTCAACCTAAATACTTATGTTTCAACGGAAACATGTTTAATCTCATTGTGGCTACAAATGCAGTTCAAGCTACATTAATCCTTACACTGTTTAAACGGCATCCATCAAGAGTGTTAACTGTTGGTTGATACATTAATTTCAAGTATTCTTGCTAAGCTAATAGGAATGGAACTACACTACAGATCTGTTCAGCAGAATGGGAAAAAAGCTCTAATCGGTAATGATTAATACAAAATTCCTGGTTTCAAAGTATCAAACACTCCAAAGCAGATTTGAAAACAATTTTTTTCAAAATCAGATCAAAAAGTTAACAACTGTAACTAAAATGATAACAATGGCTGAAGTACCATCACATTTTGCAGCTACATTTTGAGACGCAATGTCAACTTTCTGCCTATATAGCTCTGAGAATACCAGCAGTTACCACAATAATTACTGAGTGAACAGGTATACACACCCACCCCTAAGGTTAATCCATTGCATGTGTCCCCACTGCAAGAATTCTTCTACCAGCTGCAAACTTCAACTTGCCTTTCAGAAACAGGGAAGGCACTCTCAGATTTTAAAAAGGTGGTGGGGTGGGAGACTGGGAATTAAGATGTGGGTGTACATGTACTGCTGCACAGCATGCTGTTGAACCATAGGCAAGTCACTTAACCTCAGTTCTCCTGCAAGCTTGCATTTGTGCCTTGTGCAAGATATTGGGACATCTGTTTCATTAGGGGATGAAGGGACTCAGCAGTAACCAGTGTTGCCACAAAAGGAAACACATCACAGGAAACGCATCACCAACAACAACAGCGACAAGCGCCAAAAGCCGTTACCTCATCTTTAGGAAAGTAGGGTCGTATGGTGTACACTTTGGAAGTGGGTGTTAATGGAGGTGGTTGAAAAAAGAGGTCATTTGCCCCATCAATAGGCAGCAAACGCTGTGAAAACAAAATACTTAATATGACTGTATGAACAACAAAACCCATCACTCTTGGGTGTGCACTGCAGACTCCCAAATTAACATTTGCTACTTGCAGGCACCCCAGAAGAAGGTGGGGTTGGTATGCTTTACAAATGCAAAGACCTTATTTGAATAGAAAATATCCAATTCGTGTTTTAAAATATGCAATTGAAACAGCACATTAAGAGTCTGTTAATCTTATCTGCTTTAAAATATTTTTTACCAATCATATCTACACTGTCTCTGTATAAGAACATAGCATGTCGGGAGGAAAGGTTTGGTCTGAAGAGGGTTAACTGGCCAGAGGAGACGCTTTATCCCAAAAGCAATGCGCTGACTCAATTTGCTGCGCGCAGAGCACCTGTGAGGGGGGAAAAGTATAGCGCCTGAAAAATCCATGAACAAATTTGAACATGGTATAAACAGCGATTTAAGGATATTTGCCAATTGAAATCTTTGCAACAAAGCGCATTACAGCTTCATTTAGAGAGGAACCAAAATTTGGATGACTATCCCTTTTGCTCATGGAATTCCCATCGGCAGACAAGCATGCGCGCATTGTGCAATTGCGGGCGCAGATAAAAATGCTGTGCGACCTGCAAAGAAACAATGTGAAATGTACAACTAAAGCCGCTGCGCTTCGCATGCGCGTGGGACAGGCAGCATCTCCTTGAGAAATTACTGTAGAAAGGGGAGGAAAATTATTTTAAACCAAGCTGTAAGGCTAATGGGCTTTGGACCAGAAAGCCTTCGGCAGACCAATCCTTCCAGACCTCTGATGTGCAACAAAAGGTTTCTCATAAAACAAAGAAAATGTCATTCAGTTGTGAAGTCATATTGATACCTGGAACTCTCCTGCTAGACCACCTCTAAAGGCCCAGGGTTCTTGGTCTCCACTTAAGAACTGTGCTGAAGATTGACTACGACACCCTGTTGAGATCAGATCCAAGCGGAGAATGTTACGAGAAGGGGGATTTCCTGGGTGTCTAACATGTCCAAAAAGCTAACACACACTTGTGGAAAAAGCTCTCTAACTGAGCTAGAATCCAGGGCTTGGGGGGGGAGGCTGTAATAATGTATGATTTATAAAGACTTTGTGCTTGCGCACTAATTGTGGTATTCCAAATTTTTGATTACCTATAGCAGACTAGTCTAAGAACAGGTGAGGTGATTCAGCTAACACACCTCATTCCAGACCAGAAGGCACAAGAATGGTGCCATGCACAATAACATAAGCTTCACAGACATTTCATATGTTCTTTTTTTGTACATTCGTAGCAGAAACATCCATTTCATCTATGAAAAGATGACCTCTTGGAAGCTACGTGGCTCAACAGCTATGATTGTAAATTTTGGATCAAACAAATGCCATTATCACAGCCCCTTAAAAAAAAAATATGGACCTTTCTGAAGTCACATTGTAGTAATGATTGTTTCTAATCTTGTCAGAAAACTAGGACTGGCAATATATGCAAACAGTCTGGAACAGTTCAGGTAGCCAGGACAGTTGTATGAAACTGTATTCTTGCAAGAGACTAGGCAGATTTACATAATCCAGGCTGCACCTTCACAATGCTGCTGGCACGTTAAAAAGCTAAGTAGCATGAACTGGAATTAACTCACAATTTAACTAGTACACCCTGCTGGCCACAGATAATACTAGCTTTGCTTTGTTGCATCTTTATTTTTTTTCCTCCTCAAGCATACCAGATGCACAAGGGACCCTGCTGATCAACCAGCCACAGCAGGCCCACTGAAGTGCTCGGCTTTAGTTTATACTTGCTTTAGAAAAGAAACTTCCATGAGCTGTTTGACTTTCAATACTGTTCTGCCAGCAAGGCACCACAGCTTTCAACAACATAGATGACAACTCTGGAGGCGGG